TATATCACTATATATATTGAATTCAATTATTTTTTTTATATTGAATTTAATTATAGGCAAAAACAAGATTGGTCTCTAATTTTGTCTTCATGTTGTCACCTTCATTTGGATCATTACTAAGTGGCAATTTTGTAATAAAATCATTGGATGAATAAAAAAACAAAATACTCCAAAGAAAAAATAATAATATAATTGTTTTTTTCTCTGCGACTGGGCCTCTACTTAATAATCATGCTAAAGTTTGATTAAAGAACCTATTGAGGACAATAAAAATAAAGATATTATAGTTCAGCAAGTAGCATGTTTAGCTTAGTCTTTGATTTGACTTAGCTGTGTGAAAAAACAAATACTCTGAACTGGAGATGGGGAGGAATACTATGAGACAAACAATAAATTTAGGGATTTCTTGTTGAAGTATCAATCCAAATAATATATTGATTCCATTAGTTTACTAAATAATAATAATAATAATAATTATTATTATTATTATAAAGCTTGAATGATAATTCCTTGCTTAGTCCTTGGCGGCATCGAGCTGAGCTTAGGTCTAACCCAATCGAGATATGCCATTGCCTCCATCATGTATGTACCCTTGTGCAGTATGCTCACGTCAGGAACCTCTACGTACACTAGCTCGAAATCTTGTCACTCAGATCGTTTGGATGATTGACATGGGAAAAGGGAGATTGATTCTAAAGAGATGTCGATGAAAATCAAGTGTCAAATGTTATATCGTAATATATGCTATATTCCATAGGTTATAGACACCATATTAGTAAAAAAAACTCTAGTTGACATATGATCATAATGCATAAAGGCCCTCATGTGAAGATATTTTTCTTTATATTTCCTATTAGATGAGATTGTAGGATTTATTCATACTTATTAGTTAACTATCTTACATTGTGTCTCTTAACATGACAATGGAGAAAAATGATTAATGTAATAAATCCCACGTAATGTGATAAAGGCTTGATGTTGTTGTTGTATGCACATTTTTTATAATATCTTTATATCCCTACTACATGCATTAGATTTGCTAGGGAATGCATTTTCTAATTTAGGCATATACTTGTTTGAAGTATTATAAGGCTAATCTAAGGTTTCTCTTTCAATTTTTGAGAAAATAGAAGTTCAATTCCTATACTCACATCAAAATGGTTAATGTAAACTTACCCCTCATTTATTGGACAAGCCTCTTATGAATTGCAAGAACTATAGGACTCATGTCTTTGTAATTATCCTTTGGAATATATAAGTCCATTGCTTTCTCTCATTTAGATATTGCTTCTCAAGATAATAAAACCTTGATACACCCTCAAACTTTTGTTTATCCATGACCTATTTTACCCACTTTCGCTTGAATTCTTCGATGGGGGAAAAAAATAAAATTTTATATAACTCGATTTGCACTATTATTATTTCAATTTTGCTTAATGGAATGAAGCATTTGAGACAAAGGCTTTGTTTGGGACGGCTTTCTTACTGCTTCTTAAAGTAGCTTTTTAGTCCAAAATTATTAATTTTTCAACTAAAAATCTACTTTAAGAAGTAGTAAGAAAGCCGTCCCAAACAAATCCTAAGATTTCATTTGGAATGGCTTTCTTATTGCTTCTCAAAACAACTTTCTAGTATAAAAATTACCCTTTTGAACCTACCTTCTTCACTCCAATACTTTGTGAAGGATATGAATTCTCTTTGAAGAGAATACTCTCCCAATGGCTCACATATGATCCAATAGACACTTTGTTTTTTTTTTTTGGTAATCCAATAGACACTGATCCCTCACTCCTTCCTAAAAGAATCTAACATAAAAACATAAAGGGTAATTTTTTTAATTTTCAATCTACTTTTTCTTTTAATATCCATATAGAAATTTAACTTCATAAAAATTTTATATCCTAAAATAAAATTTTCCATATATGCTTCCATAATCATAAAAAATATTTATGTACAAAAGAATAAATTAAAAATAAAATGGTCCAAAATCCTGAAAAATGAATAAGAATAGAAATAAAAGGTGTAATTATATATAATTATGATTTGGTCAGTGTTGATTAGCAGCAATCTGACAGCTTTTACTGATTGCTTAAATTAATCAATCACTGCAGTGAAAGATAAAGCATTTCTTAATATATTTTGATTCAGCAAAGCATCATTAGACATTGATAGAGTCAAATTACTTAAGCAGATAAACTGAAGGAAGGGCTTCTTCTTTTTGCTGTTAAAGCTGGCTATAGTTCATGAAGAAATGGTCTAAGAACACTCTTATCAAGTAGAAACTTGGAGAGGAATTTGGCCTAAACTAATAGAGTTGACAAAACATTGAAGGATATAAAATAAAGGTTGATCAGAGTCTTTCCAATGGGCAAAATGAATGGGGTTGAAAAAATCATCAAAGGCTTTCATTTCTGCCAATGGTGCTTCCCAAATTAATAACCTTTGGTTTACCAAAGACAGCTTTTTCTTTCTTGAAGTTAGCTCCAATCCGAGTATATATGCTCTTTGGCTTTGTTTGGGACGGCTTTCTTACTGCTTCTTAAACAGTTTTTTTTAATAAAAATTTTAATTTTTGTACTAAAAAATTATTTTAAGAAATTTGGCCTAAACTAATAGAGTTGACAAAACATTGAAGGATATAAAATAAAGGTTGATCAGAGTCTTTCCAATGGGCAAAATGAATGGGGTTGAAAAAATCATCAAAGGCTTTCATTTCTGCCAATGGTGCTTCCCAAATTAATAACCTTTGGTTTACCAAAGACAGCTTTTTCTTTCTTGAAGTTAGCTCCAATCCGAGTATGCTCTTTGGCTTTGTTTGGGACGGCTTTCTTACTGCTTCTTAAACAGTTTTTTTTTATAAAAATTTTAATTTTTGTACTAAAAAATTGCTTTAAGAAGCAGTAAGAAAGGTGTCCTTCAAATAGCTTTCTTTTTATTTTTTAAAGCAGCATTTTAGTACAAAAAAATTTAAACTAAAAATTTTTATACTAAAACTAAAATGCTACTTTAGAAAGCAATAAAAAATTTATCGCAAGCAAAACCTTAATATTATATAATTCTCCTTTTTGAAGTGGTCATAGGTTATGCAAAATTATTTTGAGGCTTGCTATTTGGTTCAATGGTCTTAGAAGAAAGTTGTTTTTGAGGCTTTTTAGCTATGTCATTTGATTCTGCCTCTTGGCAATTTTAAAGGCTTCTTATTGTCAAAAGATTTTTGGTTGAAACAGTATATTATTTTATTTTTATATCTTAAAAAATAAACAGCATCTTATTTGACTTCGATGCTTCTGATCAAATATTTGGGGTTTTCTCTTTATTTTGGAAGACCTTTTATCATTAATAAGATCAAGATAAAATGCCTATTGGAAATCCAAATTTTTTCAAAAACTAGAGATTGACTATTACAAATTCTATCCTCACTTCAACTCTTATATGCTTCCTCTTTGTTTCTTGTCCTACAACAATATGTGACAGATCTCATTATGGGTAAAAATTAAGTGAAATTATTCTGTACGGTCACCAAGACGCTGTCTAGAGTTGGATCAAGACGCACCACATAACTTTTTAATTGTATGTCAATGTCATATACCTTTGTGTATTGAATGACATGACACATTCTAATTCGCCTTCGAACCTTTATATCCGGTGTCCGTATTCGTCCGGACACCAATCCAGATGCGCCGCGTCACCAAAATGCACCGAGACCCAGTGCATTCAGGTGACGTGACACGTCTGGATTTGGTGTCCAGACATCTAGTGACCGAACATAATAATTCACCGGATGATAAAGAGCTCTTCTTGTTAAATGATAAATGTTGATTCCCCTACATCTAAGGGTAGGCTGAGTATTATCAACCTTGCAAGCATAACTTTATGCTAAATTTTGAAATTAAATTTAATATCTTTGATGAGATTGCAAGTTAAAAAAAAAAAAAAAAAAAAATTCAAGTACCCTTATCCTCTAAAAGGCACAAATCAAATTTAGTTTGATGTCAAGTTCATAAGTAGAAATGTATAACTCCATTCAAAAATCCCCTTACAAATATTCTTTACAATAATTAATAATTATAATATTACCGTGCTACATTAATTCATTAAATAGCAATTGAATCTTAATTTTCACATGAAATAGGCATGGGTGATTTTAGCGTGTTAAGCAAAGCCTATTTAATCAATACAAAAATTATATTTTGATCTGAGAATAAAATGCCAAAAGGTAAGAGGATTGTACTCAAACTTCAAATGAAATAATGAATTAATAAATAGATCAAATGGGAAGAGAGACATAAGAATTGCATGGCCCAATGATGACCTATGCCATAGGATAGAGGAATTGGTCTTGACATATTTAAAAATTTTATTTAGGCCGGATTTAGACGATTTTCTTATTTCTTTTTAAAGTAGCTTTTTAACACAATTTATTTGAGATAAAAATTTATGTACTAAAAAACTGCTTTATAAAGCGGTAAGAAAGCCTCCAAATGAAGCCTTAGGCTTCGTTTGGGAAGACTTTCGTGTTATTTCTTAAAGCAACTTTTTAGTACAAAAATTAAAAATTTTATACTGAAAAGCTGCTTTAAGTAGAAAGAAAATCGTCCCAAACAAAACCTTAATATAGGAACACAAAGCCACATCCCATCAAGAGGCCTAAAGCTTATATTGTTAACAATATGTATAATACTTCCAATAGATCCAAACCCAAAAAAAAAAATAGACAAGGGGTGGCTTTCCATTGCTACAATGGTTGAGAATTTCACTCTCTTTCGGAAGATTGTAAATTCAAAGTCATATATCTGTGAACTTTTCGTTCAATATTCTGAAAACAAAGAAACAATAGTCATGATTCCAGTTCTTAAGATATAAGTAACCTTGCATTCAATAAAGGCCGCATAAAATGCCAAAAAGAATGAGAACAGCCCTTCACAAAAATAAACATGAAATCTATTGCTTTGACAAACTTCAGAAATGCAGCACAAAATGTCAAAAATGGGAAGCAAAAATGAATACAGCCTTTCACAAAGTTCATTTAAGAAGTTCCCCAGACATGGTTGTACAGGTTCAATTCGACATAAAATCTTATATATTTTAGAACAGATAAGAAACCAAAAGCTATTGCAGTCTCTGTTATGTACAAAAATCCGTTTCAAATCCTTATAATTGGCTTTACTTATGAAACAAGAATAATGAGAGGATTATCAACAGTGACAAATGTCTTTACAGCCCTAGAAACAAATTGGCAAACATAATTGACCTGCCACCAAGCAGAAAGGCAAAGAGAAGTAGATAGATCTAAAGATCTGGTAACAAAACTTACAGCAACCTATAAGAGGCTCATGTGAACGAATGAGAACAAACATAGCAGTGAAAAGTTGTTACCTGAACGCCAAGCAATTACCGAAAAGAATATGTGGCCCTTGCTATTCCATTTTTGTCTCAGATGATCTGTATAGGTAGGAGGGTTCACAATTTTTTATCAGACCGGCCAAGATTAAGATTGAACCATTTCTTCTTGTTTGATTTGTCCTTGCCATCCAAACTTCCATCCTCTGACTGGCTATCTATACTGATGTCATCAGTGCGAGTTCTACTGCTACTGCTACTGCCACCATTGATGGTTGCAGTTGAGTTGGCGACTGTGCGCATTGTCGTGAATGAGGAATGTATTTGGTCCCTCTGGTTAAGTAAATCATCGACCTATATTTTAAGGAAAAAATTTAATACAGTATATTAGAAAGTTATAGATTTGTATAAATTAATGACTCGACATGAAATTCCTAAGAGAAGAGTGGAAAATTATTCAATTTCCCAGCATACATCACATGATAAAAATGACAACATATATATGAGTGGAAGCTAAAGCATTCATTTAATACTCAAAAACATCAAAAGCTAAGATCAAAAGTAATCTAAAATTTTATTCCCTCATTATCGCATCTCATTAAATTAGTTAAATTTTGTTATGATTATCTTTTAAAGACAATCTATTGTTATTTTCATATAATACATGCTTCATGATTGTAAAATTGACATGTGATAGTGACCTGAAAATTTGCAAAGGGCAATCCAAGAAACATATGAAAATTATAATAATAACTAAAAAAAATTCATTTATAAATATATCCTATTAAAAAATCCAAAATAATCAAATTGCATCCAGTCTGGTATCCCGAATGTCCCTTCTCCAACTGTTCACTCGATCGCACTTTCAATCAACTGCGGTTCTTATTTTTCGCTCTTGATCACGCTCTCACAAAGCCCATCATGTGATTCACTTCTCCTGCGAGCCCTCTCTCCCATTCAAGCAACAAACATCAACATGCTCCACTCTCCTCAATACTTCACAAGCCAACTATTCCCATTCTTGAATTCTCTCGTGCACTTTCTCCAAGGAAGCACGAACATGTTCAAGCACCTTTCATGTATATGTTGGACACGACACATCTCCAACATGTCTCTACCACGCCCTAACACATGTCTAACATGCTCAAAATTATGTCAAAAGCATTTTGAGACAAAATTAGATTCTTATATGGGTTAAACATGACCTGACACAAGCCAAATATGCACAAACACTTAAGCATAAGGGACGACTCGCCTGTAAGATATAAATACAAGTGCGAAATTTGTGATAATTAATGAAAATTCAAGAATACTAATATTTTAGTGTTGCTATCAAATGACAATCATCACATGTTATAAAGAATTTCATTTATTATTATAAGTGTTTATTTTTCATTTATTATTATTATTATCAAGTAATAGAAAGTGCTTGCAAAAATTTAGGAAAAGCCTTAGCTGAAATCTGATTTCTACAATTTCAGATAAAACACACAAACACTTTTTTTTATTGAAAGTTTTCCAAAACAAAAGACAAGATATAAGTGAATCTTCAATTGGAGAAGAAGATCCAGCTCTCCCAAATCTCTAGCCGTCAGCTAGAGCCCAAACACCCTAAGAACAATCTAATTTCAGCAAAACAACCTCGCCCTAACACTATGAAAATCACCTATTTAAAACAAACAATAAACAACAAATACCCAAACATCGCTTCCCCCAATTCCCTCCTATTTCCTTAATTATTTTCCTCCCAAATCAACCCTCAAATCAGCCCATAAATCTGCCCTCTTCAATGATGAAATATTTTCTAATTATCGCCTCAAAATCAGCCCCTAAATATGTCCTCTTCAATTAGGAAACATTTCCTAATTAATCCTCTCCAAATCATCCCCCAAATTTGCCCACTTCAATTAGCAAATATTTTCTAATTAATCCGCTCTAAATCAGCCCAAATATGCTCTCTTCAATTAGGAAACATCTCCTAATTAATTCCTTTTGATTAAAAACCTTCCTAAACAATTCCCTCTTTATTAGAAAATTTCCTAATTCTCTCCCGATCAAATCAACCAGACTACCAATACTCCCCTCCTAAAGTGTCATCTTGTCCTCAAGGTGGAATGAAGGAAACTGCTGCTAAAGCACTTGATTAATAGTACTGGACTGAAAAATTAACTAACATTGGGCCGAATGATCCTTGACTCCAGCATCTCCTTGATCAATCTCTCGATCTCATCCTTCATCCTTGGAGATAAAAATACGGATGACACTGATAGGTGAGACTACTTCCTTCAAGATAATACCATGCTCCTGCTCCCTCGAAGGTGTGGCAAACCCTGAGGCGGATAAGAAATCTCACTGAACTGTTGAATCAATAGCTACACTGAAAGAGGAATGTCTCCACCCTCTTCCAATCTAATCCCCTTCAGCCTATGAAGTTCCACCAGATAACATTCCCCATCTCCTGTATGATCATCACCATAGTTTTAAGTGATACCATGACTTTTGTGAGCCATGCATCTCCCATGATCACTACTCTTCTCCCTTCCACCATCAACTCCATCGTCAATGCTCCCCAGTTGACCTTGGTGCCCCCAAGGTCTGCAGCCACTTCATCCCTAGGATGGCATCAGTGCTCCTTAACTCCAATGGGATAAAATCTTCCCTCACTTGAACCCCCGATATAGTTAACACAACTCCACAAACTTATCCCCTGAACCGTTTCCACCTTTCTTGTACCTATCATCACACCATAAGACCCTGTATCCATCAATGTCACCCCCAATTTGCCCATGACCTAGTTAGAGAAGACATAGTGGGTAGTCTCACTATCAATCATCACCATTACCTCCATGTCTGCTATTTCCACCTTCACCTTCATGGCATGATTCCGAGTGAATACTACCATTGAGTTCAGGGAGACCTTTGCCACATCCACATGCAGCTTGACCTCCACCTCTCTCTACTTCACTCTTACCTCCCTCAGTTTCCTTGTCATCACAGACGATGAGAAACTGAAGAGTTCAGTCTCTACACTTGTGCCCTGAAGTATACTTCTCATCACATCGGAAGCATAGTCCCTTCGCCCTCTTCTCCTGCATCTCCATCTCAATTAGTCTTTTGAAGTTCCCCCCACTTCCTCCTCCTACTGGCTTCTTCTCCCTGGGAGTCTCACGAATGTTGCCCGATACAGGCCCTTTGGGTGCTAAAAAAGTAGTCATCCTATAAAAGCCACCTGAACTACTGCCTTTGGATCCCCTCTCCTGATACTTCTGAACCTCCACTAGTTGTGTCAGCTCCATAGCTTCTCCCAAGTCACGAGGCCTCATTACTCTAATCGTTACCATGATCTCTGGTGTCAATCCCTTCAAGAAGTTCCCCTCTAGCACTGTCTCAGAAATGCGGTCCAATCAGGTAGCAAGGTACTCGAACCTCTCTCAGTATTCTATCACTGAACCTTCCTGTGTCAAGGCGAAGAACTGCTCGTAGAAGTCTCCTCCCCTGCCGGTTAGGAATCGTTCTAACAGTCAAATCCTTGAACTCCCTCCAATTCGGTATGGGTTATCGCATCTCTCTCCACTAGCACCAAGACAACGCCTTCCCTTACAAACATAAGCCAGCTACCGTCAATTTTTCCTCCTCCGTCAACCCATTAACGAGGAAATACCTTTCCACCTTGTAGATCCACCAACGTGCATCCTCCCCTTCAAAAATAGGCATCTTCAACTTTCGTATCTTTAGATCTCCTCCATTTTCCCTGAATCCTCCACAATTTCTCCTTTCCCAAGTTTTTGATCCTCCCCAAGTGTCCCGATCCTCCCTTCCACGCTCATACCCATACCCTCTTCACTTTCTCTTCTCCTCCCCAGCACCCCTCCCACCATAATCCCCATCTTTTCTATCCCAATTAGCACCCCTTATTTCATACCCCCACATAACCACACTCTTCATACCTCCTACCTCTCTCCTCAATGATCTCCACATCATTTCCCTCAACGAATTTCAAAATTTGTATTTCTCCCTACAGAAACCCTTGCCTCCGATGCCCCCGTTTGATTTTGATTTTCCAATATCTTTTTCACCATCTCGTGGAGATCTAAAACTTGGCCTTCCATGGCTGAATTCTATCATCCACTATTGCTTTCATTTGGCTCATCTCCCCTTCAAGGCGTTCTTCCAACATATCCACTTTCTTGACTGCCATCAATATCCAGATCTTTGTAGACTCAAAAATATGGATCTTGACACCAAAAAACAGCAAACAATCCCTCTTCCGGCCAAAAAATAGCTACTGGTTTTCATAGAAATAGCTCAAAAACAATCCCAAAATCTGCTCTGATGCCAATTTGATAGGAAGTGCTTGCGAAAATTTAGGAAAAGCCTTAGCTAAAATCTGATTTCAGCAATTTCAGAAAACCAATGCTAAGAAAATCAAGAATAAAACACATGAACACTTTTTTATTGAAAGTTTTATGAAAGAAAAGACAAGATACAAGTGAATCTTCAATTAGAGAGGAAGATCTGGCTTTACCAAATCTCTAACCGTTGGTTAGAGTCCAAATAGCCCAAGAACAATCTAATTTCAGCAAATAACACCTTGCCCTAATCCTAGGAAAATCACCTATTTAAAGAAAACAATAAACAATAAATACCCAAACATCCCTCTCCCAATTACCTCCTATTTCCTTAATTATTTCGCTCCCATATCAGCCCTCAAATCAGCCCATAAATCTGTCGTCTTCAATTAGGAAACATTTCTTAATTAATCCAATCCAATCAGCTCCTATATATGTCCTCTTCAATTAAGAAATATTTCCTAATTAATCCCCTCCAAATCATCCCCTAAATCAGCCCCAAAATCTGCCCTCTTCAATTATGAAATATTTCCTAATTAATCCCCTCTAAATTAGCCCCCAAATATGCTCTCTTAAATTAGAAAACATCTCCTAATTAATTATTTTTAATTAAGAACCTTCTTAAACAACTCCCTATATTATAATTATCAGGTGATGTATTTATTAAAAAAAATATTATAATATTAATAATTAAAAAAAAAACTATAATTGTGTCGATGGTGTATCGTTTTTTACTTATTAAAATTCTGACATATCGGCATGGCCATACATGTTCATCTGCGTTTCTGCTTCATAGACTTTCTCTCACTTGCACCCGCTTTTCTCTCCAAACCATTAATCATACACAATCTCATCTCCTAACACTTCTCACCAAAGACTTCCAAAAACCCACTGCTACCCTAACCGCCCAGCTTGCTCCTAAAGACCTAACCTCCAATCCTAACCTCACCTCACCGGTCCCGCTAGTCTCCAAGTTTTTGAAACTCTCGACAAGACTAAAGCAAAGTCGATGTGACGAAAAGGTCACTGGCAAGGGCACTAACGAGAGCACCACTGTGTGAAGGGGAATAAGGGATCTTGAGACGTGCAAATTTAAGGTTAAATGGTAAAGAGAAGGCATTTAAAATTATGAAGAATTTAAAGTTGTAATTTTTTTTTGTTTATGAGGATTGAAGTCAAATTCTGCTTAAGGACTATAAAAGTTATGCTACCAAAAAGCCACCCAACCTCCAACCTATGCCAGCAAAAATTGTCATTCGACCACCTCTAGACCACCCCCTATCTCTGTCACTCCCTCTCCTTTATATTTTTGTCTATCCCTTTCTCTCAACCACCCTCTCTACAACTCTTTCTTTCTCTCTCTCAATTCTAATCCTAATTATTCGCCTCATCGCCAATACTCGCCTTACAACACAGTATAATGTCAAAAGCATCCTCGCCGATCTGTATAACTACCTGCAAGCATCATTTTGATGCACAGAAACCATGTTACGATGTAATGTTCCTTTGCATATAAAAAAAACATATGCACACTTTTTAAGCATGATGAGTTAAAGACCTATGATATTATCTCAACTCAATGAGAATACTCCATCACGCGTCATACTTATTTTCATGGAGGTATATTAAGTCTAATGCACACTTTTTAAGCGTGGTGGGTTTAAAGTCCTTAGCCATGAGGCCTTAAGACATCGATTATATATGCTTTTAGGCTGGACCAATATTCACCCAAATGCCCCCTGCAAGAGCAAAGCCAAGAGAGTGCAAAATTATTTAGTGAAAATACTAAAAAAAATAAAATGAAAAGAACCTTGACTACAAATGTGATAAAAAAGTATAAAAATAAAAAATAAAAATGAATGAAAACTTAAAATGAGAAGCATGTCTCATTGGAAAGATAAAAAAGAACACAAACTCATGCGTATATGCTCTGATAAACAAACCAGCTCTTAAACCTAAAATTAAAAAATATCGCACACACTAAAAATAGTACAACTTCAAATCCAACTTGCCCTATGAAGCGTACATATGTCTCAAAAGATGTGCAATTATCTTGTAAAGCTCACAATCCTCTTTCAAATTCAAAATCCTTATCATGTAAAGCTTGCAAACCTCTTTCAAATTCAAAATCCTTATCATGCTGAGCTCGCATTCTCAAGTAGGTTGTCTTGATTGCATAGTAGAGTTAAAAGTCCCAAATTTCAAGTTCAATCCTCCACATCCCAAATACTATAATCGTTAAGACTTGAGTCCCATGACAAACACCCATGCAAAAGTTTATAATAATTGCAATCAAATGATGATTTTAAATCTCCTCTAACAATCTAATCAAGAAACTATACATCACCATAGATTGGAACTAAATACCCAATTGTGAATCTCACAATTTTTTTTTTTTTTTCATTTTCTATTGCCTTCAAAGACTCTTATTAAGAAAATTCATTTTCAGAATGTAACCTCTCGAGGTCATCACATCTATGTAGCAAGTCATAAGTTTGGCTCTAAGACAGACCTACTCAATAATTATATGAAATAGTCCAAAGCATTATTAAGAAGCCAATTGATAATTTTTATGTTGGAGTTAAGTCCAATACTTATCAACAGTTATGATAGACCGATGGACTAAATAATGATCATATAACTTAAAAATATGTCAAAATCTAGACAATCTTTATACGACATTTCTAAAACTATAACAAATAAAAATAAGAATAGAAATATTTGAGTAAATTGCATTTTGATCTTAATATTTGAGTGGCATAATGCACTGAATAATTGGATTCTTACCAATTATATTTTCATTCATTATAGATACCCATGATTATTACTTATAATTGTGCTCTCTACTTATTCAGTTATCCAAGCATGCATTTTTTTGGGCTTATTGTACTAAAGCTAATTATGTATGATTATGAATACTTATGTTATTTTAAAATATCAACATAACATGTTATATTACTGCCCACATATTATAAACTCTGTATTTAACTTGTTTATCAGAATGAGCTTTCTATCCCACCAAATATTCTTGTTTCAGGTAAGAAAAAAAAAAGCTGATTGCATCGTGATCAGACTTATCCTTCATCTTTGTATTTTGATGTACCAAAGGCGAACACGTATCATGCATATTAAAGAAATCTAATATGTGATAATTCCTCCATAATGTTGACTAAAAGTTTTATAGTTTCTTTCAATGAATTTAATTATGTGTTTCCATATGAATGATTGAGTTGGATTTTTAGATGATCATGAAAAGATTTTAATTTTTTGAGAAAATCTAGGCAAACAAGTTTTTTAGTCCCTTAATTATGAATAGTAAAATCAAAATAGGTGTGGATTGAACTTGTGTCTAATTGGATTGCCAACCTCTATCATGTTTCCTATTTGAAGGGTCAAAATGGGGATAATCATTCGGATCACAAGGAATCACAATTTCACAAGTCACAAGTTGTAATAACAATCCCAAAAGCGTAAGGGAGCCAAATTCCTCACACCAAATGCGACAACATAGGTATTGGAAATTGCGAGTCACACCCATCAACCAAACCAGCAAAGAATTAAACAATAATTAACCAGGCCAACAGTAGCAATAAACTATGAACCTTAAGGAACCCAAAAAGAAATAGAGAATAAATGCAATAAAAGTAGTGAACCAACCTAATAGCAACAATGAACCAAACTACATAATGAATTCAATTGAACCTGAAGATGGGAGAATAGTTAGCAAGAAAAACCCATTCTCCTCAACATCATCATAGGCATACAACAACAACAAGAAGAATTTATCCCACTAAGTGGGGTCGGCAACATGAATCCTTTTTTCTCCATTATGTCATGTTAAGAGTTAAATTCTCATTTAAATCTAATAAGAAAGGTCATTTCTAATATTTTCTAACCAAGTATTTTTAGGTCTACCTCAACCTTTCTTAAATAAGTCAAATCTAGGACATCTACTTTCCTCACCAAGTCAACGGAAGGCCACCGTTTTATGTGACCAAACCATCTAAGGCCACTCTCTTTAATCTTATCTTCCACTGGAGCTACTTAAACTTTTTCACTTATATGCTCATTTTATATCCTGTCTCTAAGAGTAAAGCCACTCAACCACCTAAGCATACTCATCTATGCAACACTTAACTTAATATTATGCTTCTCTTTTAATGCCTGACATCATAGGCATAGCGAAACTAAAATTAATACTAGAAATTTATTAAAAAAAAACCATTAAAATAAATTGAATAGAAATCAAACTCAAAATTTCAATTTGATTGTTTAATACACACACCTTGCTTTTCAAAAAGATATAAAGTTGAGACATCAAATATGCATGCTTTGTATCAAGAATATGTCTCTTTATGTTCTCTTAGGAAAAGATGGCGCTTACGACAAGAATCCGGCTTCATGGGCTTAAGGTTCCATTTTTCCCTAAGGTAGATTGGATGTTAATGAACCAGATTTCCCATGATAATTACATCGAGATTTATTTAGTTATGGGTTCCTACTTATGAGGGCAAGCCTCCATAGTTAATTACCCCTCCTATCATATAGAAGAGAACCCACGATTAAGGAAGAATTAATTTTTAGATGTGCAAGTGTTTTAATCTTATGAGGGCAAGACCCGATCAAAATCCTATGGTTTCGTCATCCCGGGAATACCGTAGATCTCAGTATACCAACACTAACAATCATTGATCGTAGTGGCCAAAAATCTGATTAGCAATCATGGATTACCTCCTCTCAAGGATCCCGAGAAAACTGAAGTTATTAATGTGGGTTTTAGTGTTATGGCGGTTTGGTTTGGATTGGGGCTTACGGCTCTGCTTGGGAGTTACCCATAGATTTAGGTTTAGGTCGAGGCTTACGACTCCGCTTAAGAGTTGCCCGTAGGTTTTAAGTTTAGGTCGGGGCTTACAACTTCGTTTTGAAGTTGCCCGTAAGTTTTAGGTTTAGCTTAGGGCTGGTTTACTTCACTTGGAAGTTTCCCTAGCATGTTAATTGTAGGACTTACTTCTTTCATTGAAAGTAGCATGTATATTATCAAGGACATGAAATGTCCTAGAAAGTTTCCCCAATACCCTGATTGGCTGCTAAAGCAGGACTTACGGCCTCTATTAGAGGTTGTCTATCAAACTTAGCTTAGTGGAGATTTAGCAGTAGCACTTAGTTTTATACTTTTCATTGTTTCGACACCAATACTAACGTTTTATTTACAACTTTAGCAACTTTACATTAGCACTTTGCTTCTAATATTGTGCATTGTAGTTTTGCCCTAGTAGTAATGTTTGACTATAATACTAGCTCTTTTTACTTGTTTTGTTTTAGTCCTA